CATACTTTAACTATCTCATATCTAGATTCCTGTAATGCACAGTGTAAAACATTGTGGTCAGATTGCCTGGTGTGAAACAGCTTTTCTGCAAACTCTTCTGTTGCCTGGGGCAAGAGAGCATTCATGAGCCTTTTGTATTTCCATGTCACCCCACTGCATCTACCTCCTGGTATCTCCCGACCATTACATTAACCTCAGCACATTTCCAAGCCCCTTTCTTTGTCCCCTTAGCCTCTCAAATGTGCTAATGCTAATATTGGCCAGTACAGTCCTTCAGAGAACCAGCAATGCCCAAATTTCTGGCTCTAAGAGGGTCCATCCTGAGAGCCAGGCGTTGTTGATAAAGTATCCCAGGAGATCACCTGTATCGCAGTAAAGGTGATCTGCTCGGACACCCAAAATGCTGTGTGGAAGGACCCCATCACTGCTGGGGGTCCGTTTGGGCCTGGCCAGCTGTCTGAAGAGAGAACGCGAGCCTTCTCTTTGGCTTACACTGAGAGGAATTTTAGCACAAGCTAGAGGGCAGACTGCAACTACAAAGAGCCTTGGTGGGTGTTCTTGCTGTGGCATTTGCCTGTGTGGATGAATGGGATTGGATAGGTTCTCCAGAGAACGTGCCAGAATCACCAAGTAGATGACTGTTTCAGAGAGCCCTGTGAGCTCCCTCTCGCACTGTGGCAGATGCTGTAAAGGCTGAGCAGCTGGCAGGACTGTGGACCACCTGCTGGAGACTGCAACAGGTCCTCCTAGATTTGAGTGTCAGAGGGTACAGGGGAGGGGCAGGAGTTCACTCGCTTCCAACCTTTTTGGCTTCCAAGTCCAGCCACAGTTTGTGGACCTTCAAAATAATAATTTATGGTTTATATGTATGTTTATATTGCTTCTCTTTGAGTTATGTTGAATGTTTTTAAGCAGAAAGGTGAGATATAAATATTTTAATGTTCACTTTGATTCACTAGGTGGTGATCACTAGACTAAAGCTGGACAAGGATCGTAAAAAGATCTTGGAACGCAAAGCAAAGTCTCGCCAAGTTGGCAAAGAGAAAGGAAAATACAAGGAAGAAACAATTGAGAAAATGCAAGAATAAAATGGACTCACTTCTGAAAGCCATTAAAATTCTATTAAAATTTAACGCATGAGTGTTCTGATTTTTTTGTCTTTAACATAACATAAAGGAAGTGCCAAAAGGATAAATGTTGTTAAAAATTGAGACTCTTCGCTGTTAGCAGAAATTATGCAAGCAGATCTCTTCTGACAGGAAATTCAAGCCCTACTCAGCACCCGTCTTGATATTGCTCCTATACTTGGGAGAGCTTCACACAGAAAATGTTTAATCCACGCCTGAAAATGGATGTATTCAGATGTTCAGTGGCTAGTTGACAAAACTGTTAAGAAGCCTTAAATGTTTAAAGAACTCAAGTGAGAAATGGTCAACAAAATACAGTTTATCACCTGCATCTTTGAACACAAAGGTACACTAATGGTCCACTATAGAACAGAGCTAGGGAACTACAGGCCCATGGCTTGAACCAGTGTTGTATGAATGGACTGCTACTTCTGCAGTGGGGCTGGCCCATCCTTTCCTCCTTTTGTCTCCCATGCCACATGTCTCAACTTTGCTCCAGATCATTCTCCAGCCTCTAGGGTAGATTAGGGGTGTATGTAGGAGGCTGCAGTTTGATGGAGAAATAACTTGCACTGGATGAGCAAAGACGACTACCTCATCTCCTTCTGTGTAATAAGTATGAAGAGTTCTAGTATACCTTGGAATACTTAATGTTTTTTTAACTATAAAGCCTCTCACTTTATCTTATTGAGTATTCTGGTGATAAGAGCATGAGGCCCTTTATTGATCAATAAAAAAGCAGAAAGAAAAGAGGAATAAAGTTTTCAGAATACAGAATTTAAAATTACTAATTAAAAATGATAAAGACCCAAGCAGGTTACTTAGAAGTTGAAAAGAACTATTCTTTAAGTAGAATCTAAGCAAATGGGCAGTAAAATGACAAAAGTTTACTGTAAATGCAAGGTGATGTGCACTGAGGAAAACGAACCTCCACCCAACTTCACCGACATTCTGATGGGATCTGTATTGCCTATAAATGAAGAAAGCTTGAGGTTGAAATAGTTTGGTGAAAAGGTGCACTGACCACAAAGCAGAAAAAGTCTGTGTTCAGATTTACTAGAAAATGAATGAAAAACAAACATTACTAATTGGTTGCCCTATCTCAGAGATATTGTAGATCTGGAAATGGTGCAAAAGAAGTGAAACCAAAACAATTGGAGTTGGAGGCAGGAGGACAAAAATGACTTGAAAGATCTGTACATCATGCATGATAATGTCAGAAAGAGAAATTATGTTACGGGCCATTAAGTTGTCACCACCTTGGGGCAGCCTTGTGAATGAGTGCCCTACAATGTGTCCTGCCTATGACAACTCTGCTCAGCTCTTGTAAACTGAAGGCTATGGTTTCCTTTATGGAACTGATTATTTGCTCTTCCCCTTATGTCTTACGCTTCCTAGCATTGTCTTCCCCAGTGAGTTGCCGTCTCATGATGTGCCCAAAGTGCAACAGCCTCAGTTTGATCATTTTGCTTCCAGGGCAAGTTGTTGCTTAATTTGATTTAGGACCCATGTGTTTGTGTTGGTCCAGGGTATTTGTAAAATTTTCCAGTACTGTGTATCAGATGTACCAGTTTACTTCCTCTACCTTCTGACTCTCCAACTTTTCACATCCCCAGGTACTGATTCAGAATGCACTAATGTGGATAATACTGTCCTTGGGCTCCAGTGAAACATTCTTACACTTAGTGTCCTTTTCTAATTCCTTCATTGCTGTCCTCCAAAGTTTTATTTGTCTCATTTCTTGGCTGCAGTGTCTTCCAATTTAAATTGATTAGCAGATTCAGAACAGACGAAATCATTTTATATAATACCACGGTTTATCACAGATGGGTTCAGACAACATGATAACCCGTATTTCAACAGTTTAACAACCCAAATTTAGCAAACCACACTCAACCATTACATTGCACCAGAGGTGTGGCAAGCAGCCTTCCCCAGTCTTCACTTGCTAGGCCCCTCTGGTCAACTGACTGAGCAACACTTCTAACATACAAATTATAACTGAATCATCATTGAAATTCAATGTTTACTTGAAAGTGAACTTGCATCAAAATCATTAGGATTTCAGAATACATTTGCCTAGTATGGAGGTGCTGTTGCTTAATATACTTCTACACATTCAGAAATTTGAACGAAAAGGACAAAGCTGTCATCCCTACCCCCCAAAATACATTTTACTATTTCTATGTTATCCTCTGTGTGTGTGTGTTTGTTCCTTGTTGGCTACTCTAGTGACCTGAAGAACTTCAGAAGGTCGGTCTATGCACTCTAGACTATAATAGCCTTTGTGTGGTTCACAAGAAGCTACGAATGCCTCTGAAAGAAATGGGATCGGTATGTTATTGTTCTGAAGTGTAACTTGTATAATGGGCAAATGCTACTGTTCAGATAGAATATGGAAAAACAGAATGGTTTTATTTCCCTGACTGTTCAGTCTTGTACACAGATCATAAGGAAAGCTGACCGAGGATAAGAGGAAGCAGAAGTGAAATTTGGTGAAAGTTACATCAGTAATTTAAGACATGCATATTACTGGCAGAAAGCAATTGATTGAAGCATCTAATGAAAGAAGAAAATGCAAAAGCAGAACTGCAGTTGTCAGATTATACAATCTCTTCTCCTGTGAAGAAACTGAAAGATTTTGCATATTTTTAGTCACTGATTCAAAAGGAGACTGCAGCAAGAAATTAGAAGCAAACTGAGACATGGAAAGGCAGCAATAAAGTAACTAGGAAAGATTATCAAGTACAAGGAAGTTTCACTGTGACCAAGGCCAAGATCATCTGCACTATTATATTCCTGGTCACTATGTATGGGTGTGAAAGCTGGACAGAAAAGAATACTGACAGGAAGAAAAATGATGTGTTCAAAACATGGTGCTGAAGAACTTTAGAATACCCTGGAATTGAACGAAACATGAAATCATTCTTCATAGATTGAATCAAGCCAGAACTTGCCCTGGAAGCAAAAATGAGGAAACTGCTACTGTTGTACTTCAGACACATGATGGGAAAGCAAGACTCACTGCAGAAGACAGTAATGCTAGGGAAAATTGAAGTCACAAGAATGGGAAGATGAACTATGAGACGGATCGATTCTATAAAGGAAACCACAACCTTGAGTTCACAAGAGCTGAGCAAAGTCACCAAGGACAGGTCATGTTTGAGGACACTCATTCACAGGGTAGCCATACATTGGACACGACCTGACTGCAAGGAACAATGAATAATTGTAATTCCTGTGGTAGCGGACACAACACCCAACAAGTAGCTGTGTAATATTTGTCTGCTTAATATGTGTCAATTTGTCCATGTAGGCCAGAAATAAATTCATTCCCTATCATTTGCGTTTCAAGAGAGATGGATGGGGACGGGGTGAAAGAGAGAACATTGAGAAAAATAAGTGAATGGTTGAGAGGAGCATCAGGAAGGGAGAGGAAGAAAAGCTGCAAGGTTAAGGAAAATAGGAGTTTTTTTGTCACAAAACACAGTACAGCATCTGTTGTTGCTAGGCCGAAACGACAGTTTCCAGTACGGCTGCATAATACAAGCGTGCACCCTCCGATTACGAGAGGTCCTGGCAGCTGGAACTGCGCATCTGCATCTGGGAAACGCCGGGCAACGGGAAGCCAGGGGGAAGGCGTATTTGCAAGGGACAGCCTTTTCGATCCTTAAGAGGAGCGAACCTGCAGGAGCATCGTAGAAGTCCCCCCGCAAAACAGAAGGGCGCATGCGTTCCGTTCCTCGCCTCCACCTCCGCCGCGAATTCGTTCACTACGCACAGAGGGAGGAAAGAGACTGGTCGCGTTCTCATGCGGCGACGGCCCCCATTGGATGGGGTGCCACGGGAGGCGGGGCCGAGAAGGCGGAATAGGCCATAGCGGTGGGCAGAGCGAGCTCAGGTCGGCAGAGGGAGACGAAAGCGGCCATGGCGTACGGCGGCCTTGCGGTGCCTATCATCGTCATGAGCGTTTTCTGGGGGGTGGTCGGCTGTGTCTTGCCGTGGCTTGTGCCCAAGGGGCCTAACCGGGGGTAAGTGCCTGACGACGCGGCGGGGAGTCGGGATGACGAAGGCTGTGCCAGGCGCTGCTGCCGTTAGGGAGAACGGCGAGGGGCCTTTCCCGTCTCCCGCCTTAAGAGACGGCCCGGTTGCTGCGGCCTTGTGGGAGTCGCTTCCGTCTGTCGAAGGGGTTTCAGCAAACAGACGACTCCAGGCTTGTTTAGAATTCGCAGGAAAGGCCCTTTGGCTCCAGCTTTTGGGAGGATACGGCACAACGTGATACGCTGTTCCTTGGTCACCCACTGTGATCTTTTTTCTGTATGGTGCCTCCTCCCCGAATAGCATCGCTGCCCCTTGGTTGGGTCCTGTGCAGCACCTGCTACCTTGTAAGTGCTACGTATAAATCCGGAGTAGCAATCCTATGAAATATCTTTCAGTCCCCGAGTTCTACACACGCTACTGGCCAGCTTTGCTTTTAATACATCTCTCGCGTTCCTTACTTGAGCCTCGATTCGGGTGAGCATTCGGGTCCAAATGCTCCCCGTTGTGTATGCCATGTCGGACTACTGTTGAAGATACTCCTAGGACCTCTGCTTCGTATAAGAGCGGCTGCATGGGAGTTAGCCAAGTCACAGTCTTGTGACAATTTCTTTTGTCTACTGAATGTGTAACTCTTTCCTTATCAGAAGCTATTAGCATAATGACTGCTTTCCTAGCTGCATGCAAGTTGTTAGTCATTTCTGGATTTGTATGTGATTTTGACAAGCGTTCCAGTTGTTTCACTTTTTGCTTTCAGATAATTTCTGCTTTTAGAGTTACTTTTATGAGATTTTAACATTATGCTTTTGCAGTATATGTCAAACAGGATTATTGATAATGATGCTATTGTGTTTACTGTTCTTAAATTTTATGAGTTGCTTTTCAGAAATAATCTTCCCAAGCTTTGTATACTTCTGGAGTATACATCAGTAAGATCTGCACAGTTGCTCATGATTGATAGTAGAGCTGGCTGTTGTCAGTCATTCATGGGATGCCTGTTAATGCAATATGAAGACCTGTCTAAGCAAGGGAGGAGGTTCGATGGGCCTCCTGAGGGAGGGAGTTCCAGAATCTGGACTCTGTAGCTGAGAGGATTCCATCCCTTGTGCCCAGCAACTGCAGTTCAGATGGAAGAGGAATATAAAGCAAGGCCTCCCTGGCAGATAGCAAAGGATTAGCATGTAGGAACAGGCAGTCTTTAAAGTTCCTGGCCACAAACTCTCCAGGGCTTTAAGGGTAATAACCACTACTTCACCATTATTAATAATAATATTAATATTATTAGAGTTCAGAAATGCATTGGAAGCTAACAGTGGAATTACATGTCCAGGTAATGGCCTCACTGCATTTTCTGAACACAGTTCAAGGCAGCCCCATGCGCAGCATGTTGCAATAGACTAAATGGAGGCTTATGGTGGCCAGAAAGATCCCCAATTTTCCAACCCTGTGTTAAGAAGTTGTATAAATTGTGGATATATTGCCCATCTCATTTAAGCATTTCTACTTTTGTTTTAGGTCCAATTGCCATAGTTTTGTTACATGGCTTTTATACTCCTGAATTTCTAGAGCAGCTGTCTTCACATAGTGTTTTGTCCCTTGTGTTATATCTTACAAACATTGGGAAAATTAAGCAATGCATGTAAGCTGTGACTGAATCATTTTTATAGGCAAAATCTGCCAGCATTCTGTGTGTGATTTAAGTTGAATTATAATAATAGAAAATACCAGAATGAACTTGGGTGACATGAATAATGATTCTGGATAGAGTCAACTGCTGTCTTTCGACCAATAGGAGCAGTTCTGTCAGTGGGGTTGGGGGGGTGTATTGGTCCCAATTGCCTGCACTCCCTGAAAAACCACTCCAGATTTCCAGGCAGCATGTGAGGCAGGGTGAGGTATGATGAAGACAGCCCTGTTGCATTAGCAGTGCTAACCCTCTGTTTCTAACGCTGGACATAATTTTCAACATTAAGCATGAAATTAACTTCCAGAACTGGTGGTAATTATAATTGTAGGCCATACCATTTTAGTTTGTTTAGAAATGCATTTCTGAAACCATTTTTCAATTCACTGTTCCTGCCATCACAAGATTCATGGGAAAACTAAATAACTGCTTATACTTAAAAGGAATGGAATTATTATTTCACTGCTTTCACTTCAGAGGGTGCTTAACTTGAGAGCCAGTGTGGTATAGTGCTTAAGAGTGCAGAACTGGGATTTAAAAGATCTGGGTTCTATCCCCACTTGGCCATGGAGTTCAGTGGGTGACTTTGGGCCAGTCACAGACACTCAACCAAACCTACCTCACAGGTTTGTTGTGAGGATAAGATTGAAAGGGAGAGGGAAATTATGTAAGCCACCTTGCATTTCTGGGAAGGATAAAAGGGCAGGCTATAAAGATAGAAGGACAGATGGGCTGGGCTGGCTCATTGTTGTATGATAGGATGCCTGTGTAGGTGTTGAGCAGATACTCCAGAACAAAAGACATTTCCTTAATAAATTAGAAGAGAGAACAAGAGCAAGTATAATGCTTAAGCAACAATTTCCAAAAATCTTTGTTATAATAACCAGCAGAAACTTTATCCACAGGTGTGATCACCTGATCTAAAGATAAACACCTTTTTCCCAGTGTGATATATTGTTCTTAACATTGGCACCAACAGCCAGGTATTTCAAATGAATGGCTCTGAAAATCCTTGTTGGTTGAAAATCTAACACTAATGGAGTCAGGTGGGAACAACATATAGTTTAGATGCAAATATGCTGGCAAATAGCAGTTTAGGATTTAGTCCTGCCCTTCGCTTCTCAGTGTAAAATCTTGAGTCATCAAGTATCTGCGTACATCTCAAGGGTAAGGGGAAAGGCCTTGGCAAACTGTATATCAATTCCCAGTCCAAATTTCACTGGTAATTAGACTCTGTAGTGGTTACAAACATAGTAACAGTTATTATATGGTTATGGCACAATTCTCTGAGCTTTGGATGCTGTCTAAAGAGCCACTGGAAAATTTGGAGCCTCAGTTCTGACTGAGGAAAAGCACTTCAAGCTCAGAACGGGGGCTTCAGTTCAAAGTGACTCCCCCCCAGTTGGCACTGTTCTTTCTGCACTGGAAGACCAACTGGGGAAGGTGTTCTGAGTGGGGATGGGAAGGGGAGGAGTGAGGCTCTGCTGGAATATGAGGAACACTGGAAGGACCTCAGCCCTTCCTCTCAAAGATAAAATATGTAAATAGCCCAAAATTGGCCATCCCCGCATTTTGGAGGGTGAGGGAGGTTGAGTTTACTTTTTTGGTTTATAAAAAGTACTAGAACTACTGAGTAATAACATCTAAATACTGCATTCAAAAAAGATGAGAAAAGGGCTTGAAATCAGCTACTTTTGTAAGTTACATAAATGTACATGGTTTGGGGTATTTTGCAGGGGGGAAATACAAATATCTCAACCCTGTCCTCTGGCTCTAGCTCCTGAGATGTCATCAGGCATCATGCATGTATATTGTAAGCTTGTAATTGCAGGTTGCAAGGAATTGAAACACGCTTCTTAATAATGTGGTGGGACAATGAAAAAGTGGAAAAAGAGGTGTGTGTGGTTTTTTTTTTAGCCTGCTACGTATTTTCACCAGATAACAAATTCTGCACGTTGGAGCATGGAATAAGCAAAGCTCTAGGTACTGATTCAGTACAGTTTTCTTGCTGTATGTGAAATTGCAGATGTGGTGTGATGGTGTTTAATTTACTGCATGCATTTTAGTGTCTGAAAGACTGAGTTGTAAATATAGAAATTGTCCATTCAAATTTTGCTTCTACTGTGAACATCCTAGAAAGCATTGGACAATCTCTCAGCCTCCCATCTGCAGTATAAGAATTAGAGTGGCCTACTGTTCCAGTAAGGATAACAATGATATGGTTGGCATTTCTGAAGCAATTTAGAATGGTTGAATATTATTATTAAAAGCACTTTACATTAGATCATCCTCAGCCAGTAACTTATAAAAACTGAAAAAACATTCTTCTTACCCTTCTGTTCAGGGCTAGTCTGTAAATGCAGCTTTCATTTTCTCAGATATCTTTTTCTTTTTTCTCACAGTGTTATCAACACAATGCTGGTGACATGTGCTGTCTGCTGCTACCTCTTGTAAGTATCACTGTTTTGCCTTTCAGTCCAGACATGTAAGTGGTATAATTACATGGGGGTGGGGAGGCAGATACAAGTAAATATGAATGAGCAATGCAACTCAGGCATATATTTAGTAGTAAATTGGTTTTGAAATCTTAACCAGAATACTATAAATTGGTTGGAGCAACATACTTAAAGATTAGGTATATTTCTAAAGCAATTTAGAATTTTCAAGCAGTATTCTTATTATTAGATCAGCCTTGGGCACCATCTAATAAAAACTGAAAAATCTTCCTCCCACCACCCTTGATAACATTTTACTCTTTGCTCCTATTTGGCAGAGTTTGTTTTGGGTTGCTCTACTAAGAGTTATTCAGTCTGTAATAGAATAGGTTGTATGTGTATGTTGTTTATATGTGTATGTTGTATGTTTCTGTGTATGGAGAAATAAATATACTCTTATAACTTCTGGATGTTAAGTGCTTTGCAATATTTGCCTTCTTAATGGGTTATTTGTTTGATATTTTTGAATTTCCTGAGTAACTCCCTCTTCCTGGTACTGCATTGGAATTATACAAACTTCCTATATTAATGCTTTATAATGATATTTCAGAGTACTCATGTGGGATTTAATCTGTAATAAAAATAGTATTAATTAGCAAGCCACTAAGCTGCAAGTCCATTGTATATTGCCAGTTTTCGTTAAACTTTTGCCTTCACATTTCCTTGTGGCAAAGTCCAGACTGAGCATCTCAAATAGTTTACAGTAAGCATACTTCAAATGAGATCTGCCTTGCTGCAGCCTGAACTAGTGTGGACACGAGCCTGTTTGTATTTGGTTTTGTGCTAGCAGGTTTTGTGCAAGTACATCCTGTTCATTTATGGTTCAACAAACCTAAAACCTCATAAATGTGAAGCTGTGACCTGGATGACTTTTAAAACACACCAGACCAGGGTATCCCTTTGTTTCCGCTTTGCTTTTATTCAAAGCATATATATAAGTATGTAAGCTGTAAATATTTGGACAAGTTAAAAATTGTGCCTGGTTTATCAGCATGGGTGTTTTCTCTTTGTAGCTAGCAAGGTAGAAAGTGTAGGAAGCTCTTGCTGAGTATTATTTAAAAATTCTTGTCAGATAGATAGCTCAACATTTAAAAATACTTTCTGCATAGAAACCCAGACATAAAATGATCTGGAAAGCACTTGTCGTGGTGGTAGTATTTTTCTTGGAAATTTATAAGAGCGGGTTGATACTAAACCAGAAAAACTGTTTTGGAAGGAAAATAATTTTGGTGGGTACGCACAGACATCTAGTATAGTGGGTCATTTGTAGATCCTTTAGCTACCAGACTCCCTTTTCTCTTGTGAGCAGGGTGATCCAACGGCTGTAAAAAGCTGGAAGCAGAGTGACTGGCTGTCAATGCCACTGTTGCAGGACAAGCCTATACAAGGAGGAACCTGGTGGCTGCCTTTCTTCACTGTGTTTTCAATTGCTTAGGCATACTGTCATTGCCCAGTAAGTCAGAGGGAGTCTGTGGCAGTATTGCCTCTATAGGGGTGCAGGTGATAGCAGGCATGGGGGCAGCTTGCGCAGGGCCCCCAAAATCTGAAGCCGGGTTTTGTTTCAGAGTAGCAGATGCAGTAATTTGGACCTCAAGCTGTGAGGTCCAGCTGCATTAGTGATACCGCTTTATCTTTTTCATGCCTCCATCAAATCTGCTTCAGTTTTCTGTTAGTCCAGTTTTAAAAATTAATGGAACATATCAGAACATATGCCTTAGCATGAATATTTTAGTCAACAGAAAAGGCTTTCAGCATCTTGAATTTGGGTATTTGATGGTCACACCTACAGGAAAGCTTTCAGTACTCCCAGGATCAATGACCTGGGAGTGCTAATCTGAAAGAACAGGAAGCAGAAAGTAGACCTGAGGCTTTGTGCAACAATCACTCTATAAATTGTGTCACCCATTAAGAAAAATCTAGGTTTAGAAAGCTATCATATAGTACACATGGTTTTGCATACCTGGGAATTTTCTTTGGAGGAAAAATGTTCATAAGGGGAAGATCATGCTAGTAAGAAGCTTGAACAGGACAATCAATGGGACAAAGGTGAGGAGCCACAGAAGGAATACAGAAGACTTACCCAGTGAAAGCTCTTTCCTTTGTTCTTCCTCAACCACCAGTGTCTTCTTGGTGGATGTTACCATCTAAAAAGTAATTAACAAACAGCAGTGTTTAGCTATAATCACATGGTAGTTTTCCACTGTTTTGAGTGTGAACACATAGTGGGTGAACTGCTGTGGAGGCAAAACTAGCAGTTGTTAGTTTGTATTTGTACTTCCCAACCAAGGTGCTTAATACAACAGCATAACAGATGAGGTTTTCTTATCCATTTCCACAGCATAGACTGGAAGAAATTTTATTACGCAGATTATAACAGGGTTTCTTTCATTGGGAGGGGTTTGGCTCTAGTTCATAGCTCCACAAGGCTCTTACTTGTAAATTGTGCCATATGATAAGTGGTTGGATATGCTTTTAAGAGTTCGATGACTAGCAGGGTCAGCCTTTAAGTATCTGAACAAGATTAAATGCTTTTATTGTAACCACATTCAGTAGCCACATGGACCTGTGTGCATAAATTTTATTTACATATTTGTAATGTTTCCATATAGCTACATATTTTTAATCCTTAAGTGGTTTACATACAGCTGCACAACATAAACATAGAAATAACTGCACAACAAATTTATTTAATCTAACTTTGTCTGATAGCTCCCCAAATAACCAGATTCTTAATATTAATGTAGCTTTTACCTTGCATTGGTAATACAGTTTTGGGTAGTAAAAGCAGCAATCAAAATGCATTTCTAATTTGTTTCATCACAGTGGTCTGAAGACTTGGGAGAATAGTCTTGACTGATTAACACAAGGAGCTTTTCATATATTTAAGCAAATTCTTAATATTAAACACATCACTGAACAGCTGTGCACAAGCAATATTTCAGTCTGCAGGTTTTACTTTTGTCAAAAGTAAAACCTGCAGACATATAGTGCAAAGCCACAAATCACCCCAGTAAGCCATTTTCATTATCTTGTGTAAATCTAAGTAATGCTAAGTAAGTATAGAAGGTGTCACTTCAGTGGAAACAGAGGAAGGCAAGTTTGTTATAACTGATAGAACAATCCTGTGGTCTCCGAGTGAGCACCTCAGGGTTCATAGGATGGTTTGGAAACCTTCCAAGGTTGGAGACAGCATTGTGACATTGGAAGAGGGAGTCAGGGATTCACTCTTTGGCCCTGCTTTGTACAGTCATGTGAAGAAGGCCGTGTTGGCTGTCTCTCTGAGGTCAGAAAGTGGAATTTAGGGTCCTGACTGAGATAGCTTAATAGAAGAAGCTTAGTGATAGCTTATTTTCCGTCCTGCAGAATGCTACACTGTTTTTCAAGACATATTTAGAAGGTGGATATAGGACTATAAGATGCCACCTTAAACCAAGTCAAATCACTGGTCCAATTAACCCACCATTGTTGACAGTACCTGCCAGTGGCTCTCCAGGTTTTGGGGCAGGATTCTTTGCCAGCCTTACATGGAGAAGCCCGGGGCCAGACATAGGACCTTCTGCATATAAGGCATGCACTCTGCCTCTGAATTACAGCCCTTCCTTCTGTAATTGTGATTGTTACATGTTCTCTCTACCACCCATAATTCAGTGTGGTGACTTTTTCATAATGAGCCTTTCAATTTCTCTCTGATCTAAATAATCCTAATATTTGCTAGAGGTGGAAAATGTAGTCTCAGAGAACCAAGGAATAGTTTTGAATACTCATGCTTTTGGGTAGCACTGTGAGTACTAATACAGGTTTTATATTCTGGAAATATTTTGTGGCTGGTATTGCAATAGCTAATAATTTCACTATATGTCTCCTCTGTGTTTGCATATGTGAAGCCTTCAATAGCAGTCTTGCAAGAAACACAATTTGGGCTTGTACCTTTGTCCTTTGACTTTGATGGCACAGACCTTCATGGACCTAAGGTCAAAATCTAGATGCTTCTCATTAATGCTGCCTTATAATTTCAGTATTTAGTAGCTTTTGAAGGTAGCTTTCAAAAGGTAGCTTTTGAAATTGGCACGAGTTTTACCTTGTGTAGTTAAAGCAGCATTCAAAATGCATTCCAATTTATTTCATCACAGTGATCTGAAGACTTGCAGGAATAGTGGTCTTTGAGGACACACTAACACAGGGAGCTCTTCATCTATTTAATTTCTTGCTGTTAATTCTCTTCTCACATTCATTCAGAAAGTTGTTTTCTGCTCATCTCAGAGGTTGTTGCTACTAGTGCTCATCATAAACTTGAGTAATGATGAGCATACTGCTAAAAGTATAAGTATGCTTATTTGAAGTTTGTATTGCCTGAAACTGCCTAGTTCATGTCTGGTTTCTAGGTGAGAGTGACTAAAGCTGCACTTCCACCTGAGCTATACGTTTTGCCTAATATGAATAGTATTTGTGACTGTTCCATGGCTGGACTGTAAATGGGATAACTTGCCTCTAGATAAGAGAACAGGCAGCATCGTAAAGGCAGCGCATTCAGGAGTTTCATATAGCAGCTGTACAGATCGTTCGCTTAATTATGTGTATACATATAACATTCTGTTTCTCAAAAAGTCTTGAGCACTTTGTAACAACTAAGTAAAAGGAAATGGTACTCTCATTTGAAGAGACCAAATATTCAGTTGCACAAGGACTATTTCAGCCTTTGCTCACAATATGCTTATAGGAATCATTTTTTCTTCTCATCATCTTTTAAATTGTTTACTTTCAGGGAATACTTTTCATATTGTTGTGTCTGTCATAGGTTTGATTACTATATTTGTCATGCACATTACTGTACCCTAGAGCATGCATTAAACATGGGTTGTCATTGAATTGTGGGTTGTTGCTAAATGAGGGACAGTCATTACATGCAAACTCTATGCAATGGTTTAACTATGGTTTGTTAACCACAAACAATCCAGAGTTCATGATTCAGCAGCAAATCATGCATTCTTGAGTTATCTGTGGTTAACAAGTCATATTTAAACTATAGTGCATGGTGTTGTAGGTTTAAAGTTTGAACTGACACTTGGGAGATCCAGATTCTAGTCCTTTTATATCCATGCAGCTTACTGGGTGACTTTGGGCCTGTCACTGACTCTCAGTCAAACCTATCCCCACAGGGTTATTAAGAAGATAAACTGAAGTGGAAGGCAAGCATGTAAGCCACAATGGCTTTCTTGCAAGAGGAAAAAAGAAAGAACAAACAAGATATGATATTGTTATCAACAAACCAGGCTCAGTCCATGCTCTGGGTTGTCATGACATGTGCACCAACTCATAGAATTCCTTGGTGTTCCTGAAAGCATATTCCTCACATTTTTGGAACAGTATCTGTAACTGGCCAAGTCTTTGCCAGTGCACTGATCATGCTTCGTAGAATGCACTGAAACTCCCTGCTGCTGCACATTGTAGGAGTAAATTGAGAAAGCTTACTTTCAGGAAGCTTGTCTGCCCTTATTGATAGCTTCTGAGAGATTGCATAGGTTATTTGGAACACAGTTTGAAAACCGCCAGGCTCCAAGCAGCTCTGAGAGAACATGTGTACCGGGTAGTGGTACTAGGAAAATAAATGGTAAGTGAACATGCAAAGATGTGCTTTGGCTTTAGAGCAAGGGAATATATAATATATTCCAAAGATATTTATCATTTGGTCCAGATAAAATATTCATTTCTAATTCACAATTTGGCAATAGGACTTAGAGTGATAACGTTTGTACAGCCATTCTACGGGAACATGTTCTAGAGTCCAGGAGGTTGTCACCCCTAATCTGTAGCAATCTATGATTAAAATGTTACTTTTACTAGTAGTGTAAACACATTTGGCTATAGCTGCTTATGTCTGTAATATCTAAAATTATAAGAGTGAAATTTGACAAGAAGAAGCAGCTTAGTCTTGTACTTCTTGTTTGTAGCTTCTTTGGCTTTTTTTCCTCATAGCTGACCTGCATTTCATTTTCTGGTCCAAGCATCCAGGTTTGTGTGGAATTTTCCATGACTGCCTAAGCACTCTGCATTTGTAGCAGCTCCCGTTACAAAGCCACTTCGCTCTTTCTCCTCCTTCCAAAGCATTCTAGAAATAGCAGTTGGATGTGCCTATGTATTCACAAAATGTTATGTTTACTGAGCATTTAGTTCCAGTGTAATTTTGTACAAATTAGAGGGATTCTGAAGCCCTTTTTACATTTGCAATTAGCAACGCAATGTGTAACTCAGAAAGGAGTTGCATCTTCCTGAGTATTTTCCATGCTATAAAATGTAATGTGTCATAGTTTGTCTTCTGCTTGGTTAATGTGTCCGATGCTTTGTGAAGTGTTGTGTATATATTTTGTTATATAGCCATTGTAAGTGGTTTCTCTTAACAATCATCTTGCATAAAGCTGTGGTGACGATTCACGGGCAGGAGATGGAAGCCTTTTCTGTGTAAGAGACTGATATGCTGAAATGGTTAACTTTTCTTTATCAGTTCTTTTGAAGCTGAGCTATGAAACCACTAGCAATGTCAATATTAGAAAACCTGTACACCCCTCAGGACACATTAATCCATCAAAAACTACAACTAAGATAAGATAAATTATGATTTGAGGGAGTATATTAGTGATTATGCTGCCTTTTAGAAGAGCCTTGAATATTAGAAGGAACAGGTGGGATCTAGAGCAAAATGCTGTAGTATGGATTGCTCTTATTCCAGGAAGCCATGCTCTCTTCTGCAATATTCAGTTATCCCTCCACTGCCATTCCCAGTTTTCCTTTTCTTTCCCCCAGCTGCCAGTCAGCATTCTATGGCCATTGTGCATGCTGAGCCGCATTGCCAAATATTTTCTGTCATTCTCCTAAGCCTGCTGACATTTTCCTCTTCTGTGTGGGTGATGCCATTTTGGCTACATAAGCTACAGAACTCCCAGCATGAACACTGCAGTTGAGGGGTGGGGGAATGTTGCCGATACATCTTGAACTCTCTGCGTGCTAGGATGTTTGAGCCATTTTAAGAAAAGCATAAATGAAAGCAAGATTGCCAGTTTGAACATGAGCATTACTTGAAATGGAAGGGATAAATATGTTAAATAGTTAAAATATGCCTTCTGATTAGGTGCTCAAACTGCTCTGACTCTCCTTTTTTGAAAGCTTTGTTAGCATTTTGTTTGGGCTAGCAGACAGGTACAGCTCTGATCTTTCTACTTCTCTCCATATGATAGCTGTATATCCTAGCCAATCATCCATTATCCATTCTCTTAATAGTCTGCTCTTTTCTTGCAGCTGGCTGATTGCAATCCTGGCTCAGCTGAACCCTCTCTTTGGGCCACAGTTAGAAAGCCATGTAATCTTATATCTAAAGGAACACTGGCCGTAATGATGCACTCTACTATGGCAGTTTGTGACCTAGGTAAATATTGATTTTTATCAGTTATATTTATATACCCACATTTCCTTCAAACAGTTCACAACTCCAAAGTAAGTGTGTGTAGATGTGAGATAGATATATATGATGACAGAACATGCAATAGTATTTTATTGAGCTCAGAATAGTTATCCCCCCCCAAAAAAAGAAAGAGCTTACTTTGCTATGAAGATTGAAACAATAAAACCTATTTTTGCCATAAGCATTATTTTGTGTATGACCTTTTTAAAGGGTAGGGCTTGGACTCTCTGACTCCAGCCACTAGAAATTGATTGCAAAGCAGTGGGCATTTATCATAATGCTTATTAAAATGGAAATATTTGATTGGTGACTGCGATTGAAGAAAACGGTCTAGCAAGAAGATGCACCCTTGAGGAACAGAGAAAAGAATCCATGTTGTGCTGTAAACTTTTTGTTACTCCTACACATATTCTGTCTGTTTCACAGTCAGAATTGACAAAGTCTCAGAGACTTTTATTATGTCTTGCAGGTTACAGAAACCTAACAACATGACTTCTCTTGTCTAACTGTTGAAAAGATCTGGTTTAAGTAAAGTCCAAATTAGTAGGGGAAATGTCTGAGTGGGCACAAAGATTGTCAAAGGAAACAAAAAAAAAGTGCAGTCTACTTGTCTGGAGCAAGTAACAGTTTTTTCTGGGTGAGCAGACAAATGACATTGCATTTTTCTCTGTTCACTCTATCTGTTGCAATATTCTTGGAGTAAAAAAAAAGTTTGCCATCTATAAGTAGCACTAATTAAGATAGTGCTCATTCTACCTTTTCATTAGTTTGCAAAATAGATGTACAGAAATGATGGTAGCCATGAAATGCATCATATCAGGACGTATACAGTGTCACAGATCGTGTTCAGTAGCTGAGTGTTGTTGTGAGAATATTGACTAAGGTCTAACAAAGGTGTTGGGTTTTGAGCAGGAATACTTGGGTTATTTCAGTGTGTTGGGCTTGGAAGTGAGGATTTCACCATGCAAATGAATGCAGAATAGACCAAATCCATGAACTTGGCTTTTACAATGACAAAAATCAATTCAGAAGGTTCTTTCTGCCTTTTTATTTTATTATTCCCCTTCAGAAATATAATTTCTTTTATTTGAAAAAGCAGAATAGCTGAGGAGAAATGGTGCTTGATGTTATGCTTTAATTGTCTGCTGTTAAGCTTCGTTGAGACAAAGCTCCACTGTTTTCTGCGCAAGCTTGAAATGAATTAGGATAGTGACAGACTGCAGTGTTTATAGGGGTTCGTTTTTCTTTTTTAAAATGTTAGCAGCTCATACAAGTCACCAATAGCTTTCTGTTTTGCAAGTAAAGGCCTCCTGCAACAAAGCAGTGATTTTGGATTTATTCCTTTGTTACAGCACATCACTTCCTGGCAAGTAACAATCTTGATTTGGAAGAGCCTGGCATTAATAACCAGGAGATTGGAATTGGAATTAACTCAGGCAGGATCTTAGTTTTGTTAGTTAAAAGTGGTGTTCTGGCACTAGGTATTCAGTTTCCATTTTCTAATCCCCACTTTTTAATATATAGCTAATGTCAGGGGCTTCTAGCTGACTCTTTGCTTATATTGATTTATTACTGCATTTGTCACAATTCAACCAGGGCTTAGTGGGCTTGTTGAAAATACCCAGTTTTTTAAGATCCAAAAGTATCCTCTTCAATGGTTAATAAAGATGAACCACTTTATAACAGCTGTGATGCCTTGCATATTAACCTTTTCTCTCAAGAATCTGATTGTTAAATTGTTGACTTGTGAATTAAAATGCCTCTGAAAGAGACTAAACTGCTTTTTGCTTTGCAGGGGATGAAGATAGTTTGTAAAGCTCCATTGATCCAAAGATGCCCTTAATGTATTTTGAATACAACCAAGTCTACTTTAATGCCTTACTGTTTGTTCTGTTATGAGAAATGTTTGTCTAAAGTATTTTCTGTGCTTTTTTACTTCTCTGAAAGTGCCTAATGGAAACTTGTGCCTCTTTTTCAGTACAACTTTGTGCTTGAATTTCAAGTATTATAAAATGTTCCTTCTGTCTTCTCTTCCCTGCCACAATGGCTGGAGGGAACAACAGACTTTCTATTGCACTGCAAGCATTATTTGCCTTACCAATTTTCATACTAGACTGTCTCCTGATTCAGTTTATAAGTATAGTTTGGTGTCTGTTAACTAATAGAAGAGTATTGTGTGTCTTTCTTAAATCTGGAATAAAATTTATCCTGGTTAATGTCTTCTGGGTTTCTTTAGATTACATTTGATCTAAGTGGACTAAAAACTTGAGTTTCTAATAATTGCTTTGTGACTTTTGCACAAATTAATGAAGTTAATTGAATGCCTCTGCATGAAGCAGTTCAGCAAAGCTACATCCAATTAAGTGGTCACTGAAGATACCTACCCTTTTCAGAAAGTTTACACACTCTGAAAAGTACCTGCTACTGTGATCTCCAGCATCTAACAGCTTTGTTCTGAGTTGTAAATTACCATACCCATATTTTACTGGGAGATGTTGACTGTTTTTAAACTAAAACATGGGAACTAACATTGTTTCACTGGGTTTGCAGCACAAACAGTAAAATTATATCCTAAAACCAAAATTACCATACCCATATTTTACTGGGAGATGTTGACTGTTTATAAACTAAAACATGGGAACTAACATTGTTTCACTGGGTTTGCAGCACAAACAGTAAAAGTATATCCTAAAACCTTCAGTCTACACAATAAATGAACAAAAAGTGGTGTTTCTCCAAATTTTAATCTGTGGATGTAGTTCAGATGACTTCAGTGTTTGAACCCATTGCTCAAAAATACGCTTCTGTTCTGGATGCAAACTTAAGATTTCACTGTGATCAGTTTTCAAGTTCAGGTTGGATTTATAAATTGAAATTGTGAAGGTGACTGAGTACTCTGTGTATGACACATTTACTTCATCGTTTTTTCTTGATACTCTGATTATGAATGAAAATGGTTACAGCAGGCCATTTCTAACAGAGTTAGAGCCCAGCATCTCCAGGCTGAAATATTACAAGAAGCCTGCTGTGCTTCCAAGATAGGCTTACCACTATCCTAGGATTTGTTGATACAGGCATGTCTGTACTTTTTTAGTCATTAGGTGATATGTACCTGCAGTTGGGAACAAGCACTACTGAAGAGCACTGGCTGAGGTAACATGAAAGTTGCCAGTGCCATCTTTAAAGGTTTATTTATGTACTTAAGTGACCTGTACATGAAAATAATTTTCAATTTTAATTGTATGGTTCACTTTTAACTCATCCCACTCAAGATAAGTTACATGCATTACTGCTTTTCCATGTACGTTTCTCAAGAGACATCTTCTGTTCATGAGTTCCAGACCAAAGAGCTCATTAACAAAACCAATACGTATACAGGAAAATTGGAAATAGCCACTAACAAAACGTTTAACTTATCGATATAGTCATAAAGCAGCTTTCAGTCAGGTATTGTTGCTTTAAATCATGGGCCTGTATGCCAGAATGTAGCTCACAAAAACACCAAGCCATGTGGCAGAGACTTCTGCAACTGAACTGTAGTCTGGGGGGCGGGGGGGGGCTCTACCTGACCCTTGCAGCGTTTATGAAGCAGAGCAAAAGGGAGTGCTCATTTTTGCTCAACAGCACCGGCATTTCTTCCAAGCACATACACCCATTTCTGCCCTTAGAGAGTTTGCACTCAGTTTACTCCACAGTAAACTAGTGAATTAAGAAGGGTAATTTACTTAAATGTGGAGGGAGTTCAGAAATCTCTTGGAAGGGAGCTTTGGCTGCATGCAGAGGAGATTTGACTTGAGCAATCCTGTGCATGTCTACGCAAAAATGCCGTTGAATTCAATGCCATTTGCTCCCAGGGTATTGTGTTTAGCAGGGGAGCCTTAGTGAGCAAACTTTAGCCCTTCCTTTTCTTTCCCTTTGTACCCACTAATTCTCCACCTATGAGGAAGTTGCGACGGCGGCTGCCGCTTGAAACTAGCAGCTGTCTTTGCTCTCACTCCCTGTGTCCGGCTCCCCCCGCCTTCGCTGAATTCCCGCCGCCGTCCCCGTCAGCTGAGAACAGAACATTCTCTTCCTTCCATCCTCCCCCGCCCTTCTCACTTCAAGCTGTCACGTGAGAGGGGAAAAACCAAGTTCTCCGGTCGCTGATTGGCCCTCGGCACCACACTCTCCCATTGGTGGTATTTGCTTCCTCACTTTCAGCCTGCTCTTGGCTTTGCTCTTCCCTTCCCCCGTTTTTTTTAAAGCCCACGTGATGGGGGCGAGTCACGGGATTTCCGGGAACCCGTCAGGAAGGGACATAAACAAAACAAACCCCAGAGCGGCATGGAGGGGCCGGGCCAGGGCTATAGCCTCAGCAGAAGCAGGCCCCCGAATTGAGATATTCCCTATTCCCACGCTGGGTCTAGGCATCAGGTAAGAGACCCAGGGGGTGGGGCTAAAGCTGCTAGGGCCCCCTGAGCGAGGAGGTCAGGAGCGGGGTCAGGAGCGGCTGTGGGGGTGGGGGGGTCACTCTGCCCCACCACAGAGGCGGCAAGAGAGGGAGGGGGAAAGTCTCAGCGGCCCCCTCGGAGAGTTCGTGGTGCGGCGAACTCGTTGGGGTTAGCGGAAGGGTGGTTGCTGTGTTTTCCCTTCTGAAGTGGCGGTGGCGGGGGGGTCAGTCTTGCTGCTGCAGTTGTGCCGAAGGCGATCTGTTAGGGTGGACGTTATTGCACTTTTGCGGAAGGAATGTGAGTTTGTGTTAAAAGGGGGGGGACTAAGGAAGTTGTTCCTTCTGCAGCAGCGTTTGCTTGGAAAGGGGGCGTGGAGGCAGCTGCAGCAGGAACTACTGGTAGAAGGATTAGATCAGGTACAAGGGCTGTACTAGCCTTGGCTTCAGTATTTCTTTGTGTGTATATGTGTGTCCCTTTAATCGTACTAATGAATAAAGTGAATGCCCTAAAATAGTTTTTCTTTCCTATGGTCGTTCGCCCCTACATGGAAAGGGATATGGAAGAAAGGGGCGTGTGCTTGCTTGTCTGCCTAAGATGCTTTCCTTTCTCCTAGGATTGCAGAGGAGCATGGGAGAGGGAGGTGGGGACCTTTTGTTTTTTATTTCCTTTTCCTTGTAAGGTGTAGGAGGTAGCTGGTGGTAGGTGTGGCCATACTGTAGACATCGCTGCTGTGCACTTAATTTAGTGTTTTTCTTCTGCCCGGTCTAAACCTTGAGAGCCCCAGTTTAACTTCCTGCATCAAAAGATGTATTTATGTATTTGTAACGAAGTGGAAGAGTGCATTAAAAAGCTATTTGCTCCGGTAGTTGCATGTGTTTGCACGTTTCTTTTATCACTTTCATTGGGAAAATGTAAATTGTGCTAAAGGGAGCTATGAGTTCGTTGTGCAGCTTGAGCCAGTTCAAATTCTATCCCAGAAAAGTTGGATTTCTTACAGGAAAAGTGTTTCCAGGCTCTCGTTATTGTAAAAAAATTAGTAACGATGGAGTATTATGAATAGCTGACAAGATGGTGGCAAATAAACTTTCAAAGAGCTTTGGCAGCTTTACATCATATTAACATCCGAAGCTTACACGTGCTTCCATTTTATTGTCTGCTTAGACTGCATAGGAAGGAAGTGAAACGTCTAAAGGTTTTGACTGGGTCCTTGTGGCTTTGGCACTGTCCAGCGATAGGAGTGGAGCGAGGAAGCCAAGTAAGTGGCTTGGGGTCCAAGAAAAAGGCTTGTGGCTTTAACAAGATAAACATGGTAGAATTTTTTTTTCTGTTCAGTCTTCTGATATTCTGGTTTGGGGTGTGGTGCGAAAGGAATTATTATACAGTATTTGTTGCAATGTCAGGAGTTTGTCAAAGTGGCAACAGGGTGCAACCATAAAGAAGCAGGGGGGAGGGATCTGAGACTTGCCAGACCCCCCCCCCCCGGCTTTTTTCAGTTATTCTGGGACAACAGAGTTTCTGATTCCATACATTCGTCTTGTATGTGCATCCCACTATTTCCCCACCCCGCCCACATAGGAAGGTCGCAGCTGTCTTCTCTTGTTCCTCCACCCCCTCCCTCATTTAAAAAAGTGATCTTGTGTTTTAAGAATGTCGTCGTCCTGCCGGGTTTGGTGTGGAGGGCTTTCCTTCCCGAGTCCCTTCCTCGTCCTTGGCTTATGGGATGGGCGTGGGCCGGCAGAGTTCCGATTAGTTCGGAACCTCCAGAAAGTGATTTGTTTACATGTCGCCTCATCCTAGCTTGAGAGGGGCCGCTCAGCAGAGAGAACGGCGGCGGGCTCACCCAATAGCAGCAATGTTTGGGATTAGATGGACCAATGTGATTAGGAGAGGGGCGGGTGTAAGTGACAACGGGTTAGGTTGTGCTTCAGTGCGGTTTGGTGGGGCGGCCATGTTGAATGGGAGGCGTGTTAGTGGGTTAGGGGATTTACAGGGTCCAAGTACCAGGGGAGTATAAATAAATAAGCTGGAATTCAGGGGCTTAAGATGTTGCTGAGAGCCAAGAAGGCGGACTGTATACATACCCCGTAGAGCAAGTAGGCACTGGACAGAGCAGCCTTTTGGTAACTTAGAGGAGCTACTTCTGCTTAGTTCTACTTTTACTGCAGTGACAAAAGTCATGCCAATTCTGTTGCTGCTCTCAGTGTGAAGGCGTATGGGAATTCTGAGCTAGAAGCAGGCAGGATCAGGCTTAGGTTGAGTTAATTCAAAGCTTCCTTGTCTGGGTTTAGAGTGCACATTCCAATAGTGTCAGTTTCCTAATACCTGTCTGTAATATCTCTGGATTAGGCACAGTTTCTTCTCACATAAAAATGTTTAGGATTCACACCACTTGAAAAAAAATCTGTGTAATTTCTAATATTTGGAACATGGTAGGACTGCTTTCTGTTTACAAACTGTCTTGCCAGAATAGTTGCAGTTGCATCTCTTTAGGTTCTGCCTCAGCTTTGCATCTCTCTTTGTAATTGATTGCTTGTTTGGGGGGGGGGGGTCTGTCTTAGTTTGTCAAAATTCAGTGCGGTGGTGTCTTGTGAAGGAGTTCTGCCTGCAGATAAAGATGAATGCAGGCAGCTCATTGAGCAATGTGACTGCATGTATATTCTGTTCATCATTAGAGGCTGTTTATACATCCCACAACTTCAAGAAATTAAATTGATGGATACTTCGAATAGAGCTGTTTCTGTAACAGAACCTTACTGTGGATCTCTCCTGAGGAAGCCAACCTCACTTCCCTCTGTGTTTCAGACAGACAGTAAAGAAGGTTTTGTTTCAGTGATACTTGATGTGTTATATTGTGGTTGAACTTTTCTTTTAACTATAGTGCTTGGATTTTATTTCTGGTTGCCCTCTGTGAAATTCTTGGTGGTGGTGGTTGCTGGACTCCTGTGAGACAGAAAGAATGATTCATAAATATATTAAACATTGTGGACAGAGTACTATTTCCATAATAACACAATTCCCTTTCCCTCCAGTATGATCTATCTCTATACATGGTTTTTGTTTGCTTTTGGTTCTCTCCAGTTTTGAAAGTTTATTGCTTAAAGAAGTAAGGTGAGTTTACTCAGCTATAAGCCATGTCGTGACTTTAACAACATGTTGATTAAAAACACACACAACATCATACAAGGAAAACTGTTCACCTTTTCTATTGTTACCAAACACATAACCTAAGGACAAAATAGAACTAATATAGCCCAAAAGAGCATTATATTGTTGTATATTTATTGCTATAGTTTTCAGTGTGTTCACAATGCTACAGTGATTTTCAAGATATTAAGTAGAGAAGCTCATGCTTCTTCCATTTAAGCACTTTAGCGTTCTTTTGTACTAATGTGGATTGACTACCCACTCTTCAGCCCCTTGGAACCAGTACAAAGCAAAAGACACTTCTTCAGTGTTATCGCATGGGTTATCACATGGGTAACCTCAGATTCTCTGCACGGGTCTTTTGGTTTCTGTGGGTTCCCTTTTGATAGATTTATCTCCTAGCCTTCCTACCCAGCACACACCACAGCCTTTCAAACGAACTGTGTCCTCATATATTTGAGGAGGTCCAAGTGGTTTATTTACTTATAGGATTATCTTTGACAGGGTCTGAGAGCTGTCGCTTATGCTAAGCAATATTTTAGGAGCTACTGCTTTGGTCCTCATATCTTCCCCTCTGTCATAGTTGCATGTACAGCTGCAGTTCCTAAATCATGAACAAGGTCAAATACTTTGTTTATACTGACGAATTTCTCATTGCTTGGTTCCTTCCTTTCATTCCTAGATGCCTTCATATTTTCCTCTTTTTTCCCTGCTATATTATTATCCTTTCAAATTGATCACTTGGTGGAGTCTAGTAACATGTTATTTAGTAATTTATTTTGAGAATTCTCATGTTGTTACATTAAAATAACTTATAATCTGCATTCTCTCTCACAGAAGCAACATGAGTAATAGAAGTTACATGCCTTTAATTTAGGGTAGTCTTGTGATTATTGGCCTATTGTTAACATCAAACAAATTGAGGATTCTAGTAATACAAGAATCTGGAACTTGTGATCCACAAATGCAGACATTGTCATGAATTGTGGCCTGCTATGTTCTTCTCTTTCACATGCATGCCTGCACACATGCAGCCACACAGCTAGCAGGCTGCATGAGACTGAGTCATAAGTCGTTCAGATCTGTATTAGTGTTTTCAGCACAAAATAGGATAAGACCTATTAGGGATTCAATTGAAAAACATTGGATATTCTGGTCAAGTCAAAGAACTCCATTCTCTCAATCTCATTGTTTTTGTCTGATAAAGGAATGCAGGATTTAGCCTCTGCTGCTCCTAGTACCTAATGTCCTAGTTGCAGAGATGTGAATTATTTTAACTAGAAGTAATGCTGTGCAGGATGTAGGCTTTAACTATGCATAGCCTAACCCTTAAAAGAAGCTCATTGATTCTGAAAATATTGGTGCATTCTCTTGCTTCATCTTTTCCTGCCTTTCACATGAGGGTGCATTGAAAGCACATATGAATGATCCTTCTCCTATATCATGTTCATCCCAATTGATACTGTTCCGTTCTATTCAGAATTGCTATGTAGACATAGCTATTAAATTATACTAGTACAATACCCTGGACTTCAGACAGCAGAAATCTTGAACAAAATTCACTTTCTTATTCTAAAATACGTGTTAATTTACAAAGTTGGGGGGGATGTAAAAGTCCTGAATTTCCCCAAGCAAAATCTCAATATGTTCACTTTTCCCAAATTCATTAGCACAAAGAATCTCAATATGGTCCAAGGCCCCTTTATCAACTGAGGCAGAGAGATTGTTTAGACAATGTTGTTCATAGACTATTGGAATTCTCACCATTAGTTATAAACCCTTAAACCTGGAACCCAACAAACTGGAAGTCTAGAGAGGGAGAGGAAGTTGCAGTGGACCATGACTAGAACTAGGCAATTTAGTACCTTACAAATATTTTGGACTACACTTCCCATAAACTGCAGCCAGCATGGCCAGTGATTACAGGAATTTTATCCCAAAACATCCAGAGGGCACCAGGTTTCCTACCCCTGCTATAGACCATAGTGTACCCATCCTTTGATGGGTTGTGGTGCACTATGCCCATTCATCCAAGCTTGTCCATCCAGGTCAAAGCAGACTCCTCACCCATAGTATAATGAATGAAGGAGATTTTATTAAGCATTAAGTAGTAACACTCTTGGGTTCAAATACAAATTGTGAATTACTATGGTTTGGAAAAGGACTTCCCTGCACCTACTGCGCATGTCATATTTCCATTTAACAGTAACAGTTGAAATGAAGGCACCCCATCTCCCCCACATTGATAGTTTCAAAGCTTCCTGCTTGCGTCATTACCAAACCAGCAGCAGTAAACAAAATCAACAGCAGTTAAAAATGCAAGATAAAAAGTAGCACCTTATAAATATTTAGTAGCAAGGTTAGAGTGCAAACTAAAAATAATCTGATTAATTCAATATTCCCTGCTTCTAAATTTATTTTATACTAGAAGGATGCACTGGATTACCCTTCATCTCTATTTCTAAATCACACATCCATCAGTTTTGTAATTATTAGTGGTTTTCCTTTCTCTTTTGGATTTCATGCACTTTAGAAGAAACAGTAAGTGTTTCCTGTCAGAGTGTGGATGAATTGCTCTGTTTCCATAGTTTTATTTTTACAGCAGCTCTACTGTTCAAAGTATTACACAGTAATTTTCACTGCTGCTGAGCAAACACACGGTGTTTTCACTAAATGGACTTTCCCAGACTGTAATTGGCCAACAAAAGCTGTTTGTATTTATGAATGCTTTAAAGAATACATTTGAACATGCAGCTTTGCTTCACATCTGTTCTTAGAGATACTGATGAGATTGTCTTTTACTGAAAGTGATCTTCATACATTGCTCTTTCACCTTGGGCCATGAAGGATTTATTAAGCTCTTGGGCCTGGAAGCAAACTGGAACTAGCTGGATACATTCCAGCCATCCAGTTTCAGTTAAAAGATGTATTTGTAGCACTCTGTATTTTAAAGAAAATTCACAGTAAGTTGATTGGATGAGAAAATGGCTTCTTTTATTGGCTGTTGGCTAAGTAAAGCATAAAATTACATGGAAGGAATAAATGTCAAAATAGAGGGAAATAAGTAGGAGAGGTAGAGGGTTAAAAATCTTTATTGATAGGTATGTGTGACAATTATTCACATGTAATTTTGAAGTGTAGGGAGTTAACAATGTTTATTAGCAAAGTGTAGTTAAAATATTCCAAACAGGATGAAGAATTCTAAAAGGCTTTCTCGCAGGGTGGATTTGATTTACATTACATTGATTTAAATCACTAGTCAATAAGATTAGATTTAAATCATGGTTTTCTATTTGCACGCATTCCTGCCTTACCTGTAAGTAGAGGAACTTCATTAAAATATTCCCTGTCTCTCTTTTATGGCCTGCTGCCCTTATAGGTTTTCTTCTCCAAGGAAAGAATAATATGACAAACCTCAGGCCATGCACCACAAAGATCTGAAGACTTGCGGAGCATTCTGCCCAAAAGGTTTCACTTTGATGTTTACTGCTTGCTCCTCCCTCCTCACACTTAGCTTCTTGGACAGACTTATTCCACTCCCTACAATCTTTTCATTTAATTTTTTGAAATTTAGCACTTAAGAGTAAAGGGATTGATTCCATGTACCTAGATTTACAAAGGAACAGTGGGATTAAGGTCTTTTTCTCAACTCTGTATGCTTATTTTATAACATTTTTGCTATATGTTAACTTTGCTATATGTTAACTTTTTCTCAACTCTGTATGCTTATTTTATAACATTTTTGCTATATTGTTATATGAAGAAAAGGTATATCATTTCTGCAGACACAAATTCACAGTTCTGGGAATTGTAAGACCAAGCATCTGTGATAATATCTTCTAGACAGAAAAACTGCCCAATATTTTACAAAAGCCTCTGGAAGAACATGACATTGTGAATGGATTAATGGCATTCACTTACCAAAAAATTAAGCATTAAACATGAATATACAGCCTCATACTACATAATTAAAAACTAATCCTTATTTCATGATGAATAACCTTTGAACTATGGCATCTGGTCCTCCCACTTCCTGGCAAATAGATGCGGAAGAAATGGAGGTAGTGACAGATTTTATTTTCCTGGGCTGCAAGATCACTGCAGACAGGGACTGCAGCCAAGAACTTAAAAGACACTTGCTCCTGGGGAGGAAAGCTATGACAAATCTAGACAGCGTACTAAAAAGCAGAGACATCACCCTGCCAACAAAAGTGCATATAGTAAAGGCTATGGTTTTCCCAGTTGCAATGTATGGCTGTGAAAGTTGGACCATAAGGAAGGCTGAGCACCGAAGAACTGAGGCCTTTGAATTGTGGTGCTGGAGGAGACTCCTGCAAGTCCCTTGGACCACAAGGCGATCAAACTGGTCAGTCCTAGAGGAGATCAGCCCTGACTGCTCTTTAGAAGGCCAGATCCTGAAGATGAAACTCAAATACTTTGGCCACCTAATGAGAAGGAAGGACTCCCTGGAGAAGAGCCTAATGCTGGGAACAATAGAAGGCAAAAGAAGAAGGGGACAGCAGAGGATGAGGTGGCTGGATGGAGTCACTGAAGCAGTTGGTGTGAGCTTGAGTGGACTCCAGGGAATGGTGGAGGACAGGAAGGCCTGAAGGAATGTTGTTCATGGGGTCACAATGGGTCAGACATGACTTCGCGACCAACATCAACAATCTTTAGATAAATTGCTTTTTGAGGAAAATATTTAAAAATCCAATTTAAATTTTAAAAATCCATTTTTTTAATGGTAGGCATGACTTAAGCAGAGCCAGCTGGAGCTGAGGGTCAGACTAGATGGCCCAGGAGACCCCTTCTGACTCACTCTCTTTCTCTGTTTCTTATCATTGATTTATATCCAACATGCTTTCTCCAAATAAAATGGAATGGCAGATGAGATCTAAGTTAAATGAACAGTAATAAAAACTAGGATAATTTTATATCCACTATTAGTTTTTTTCAAAATTCAAGAGGAATGAGACCCTAAAAGTCATAGTAGAACATTTACTGTGAATACATCAGCTCAGAGGTTCAGTACTACTACCTTCACAATGCTGCTTTAGTCTTCATTTCCCCTTCCAATCCAGGTTTTTCACTTTTAAAAAAGACTTCAGAGCTCAGTTTTATGCATTAGTGAGTGATATGTGGCAGGCCCCTTAGTTCACTTCTGGCCTCTGATATCCTATTCTGCCTTTTATATTATCCTTGTTCCCTCTCATCATGAAACTCTAGTCTTTGGCCTGAGTAGTGCATACTGCTCTTTGCATGTGCAGTTCACTTCAGGCAGGATTACCATCTGCATCTAAAGCATTTCTATCTGCTACTGTGTGCTTCTGTTATCAATTAGAGTGGAAATCTATTGCTTTGGTTACTTCTCAGTGCTGTAATAGCAATCATTCAAGAATTTTTTAATTAATGAAATATGACCGTTGTGAGAAGACCATGTCATACATGCAATGAGCATAATGAAAATTATGTTCCCAGAAGAGATGGTAGATTGAATATTTCTCTAACAACAAGAGGTTGTAGTCTTAGCTTCTCTCCAATAGTCCAGCTTTCTAAATGCAGAGGTTTTTTTAACACAGAAAAGTTAATTGTTTCCAATATTTACCTGCAATCTAAAATACAGCAGTCCAGAAACAGGGTTTCAACTTGATCCCTTTGTGCAAACTTGGCCTCAGGTATATAGTACATAGATAGACAATCTAGAGTCTAGATATCTTTTGGTCTACAATTATCATCAGCCATGCCAATTGGCCATCCTGGCTGGAAGTGATGACTGCTATACCTTTATAAGGTTTTCTAAAACTCTGGGGGCTATAAAACCTCGTAATGAAAGCAGGCAGCTTCAAACATATTATGAGAGCACAAAGGTGAAATTTTTGTTTTTTTCTAAGGCAATTGCAGGATTAAGAATTAGAATCTTTGGTTTTAAATAGTCTTGTCAAAGGTAATTGGCAATGATATAGAGTAGTATTTGACATTATGCTTATGTAATATGCAAAACCAAAATATTACTGTATAATGAGTTACTTGAATTCTGGCTTACAAACACATTCATAACCTGAAAAACTTTTCATAATCTGGCATCATGCTCTTGAACGCCAAAGTTGTTTGTCAAAGCTATTAATAGAGCAGATGATTCTTTTGTGCATTTGAAGTCTGCCTTGACTCTGAAGTGTTCTGTAGACTAGGCTGCAAATTTATATTTCTCTAAATTCCACTTTGAGTTTGAAAGGCTGCCTTTTGGAAGACAGCAAAAAAAAAAAAAAAACCCTAAGGGTGCAAGAACTTCAACAGGGACTAGAACGCCTGAACCTCACTTTCCTGTCTTAGAAAGTATAGACTTATACAAAGAATCCTTTTGTTCTACCACATCTCCAAAAATAAGAAAAGGGAAGTTTTGCAAGAATATCTGCTGAGTGTGATTTTCAATTGTGCAGGATTGAAGGGAAAGGTAAATAGAAGAGCAGATGGGTTAGAGTGCTACTGCTGTGCAGCTACTAGAGTCATGAGTGGATCCAAGTAGAGTGATTTGAACAGTCAGTAAAGGGATATGAAATGCAGCTTATGGCTAAATCAGCACTACAGACATAAAGCAGCAGGCAGGAAACTGCATGAACTTGTAACCACTAAGGAGAACAGATTGCTTGTATCTTCCATTGCTGTGCAGAAGATGGTGTCTCAGCAGATGTAATTCTGTTCCCCTTCATGACAAACAGCACGTATCAAAAATTTCTTCAAAAGAAGTTATCCTCCATGCATCTGGCCATCCTAGCAGCAATTTTCCACCAGTGTAGGAACTTAGTGCAAAAAATGCTACACTACCAGCTGCCTATATCAGGTGGAAGATGTATGCATAAGAAAATTTGGAAATCCCGCTTGAGAGATGGTCACAAAGCCTGGATAGAGCAGGTAAGAGCTAGTGGTGTTTAGTGAGACTACTAAATGCATTTTAGATTTGAATGCAATTGTATAATTGCAGTGGAAGGCCAGTCAGATTTGGAATCAAATCAGTGGTGCAGCCACATTTGTGTACAATTCTGGTCACTCCATCTCGTAAAGGATATTGTAGATGTAAAAAAGCTATATAGATGGGAAGAAGACACCTCTGAGAGATGGAAACTGCATAACTTCTGTAGCAAAGATTGCTATGTTTAAATATCCCAAATGTGGTGCACCTTTTTGTCATAAATATTACATTATGTAAATTTACTATGAATAGTCCTGTGGACTTGAGGCTTATTTGTTTCATCTGGGCTGTATGAAAAAGTGTCTGCTGGGTGCCCAGTAAACTTCCATACACATTCAGCAACCACCAGAAATATATGGCTTGCACACTATTTTGGCCCCACCTAGCACTAACCTCCTTCACAGTTCAAATAGCTCCTCATGCCTAATCTGCACACAGTATTTTGAATTCAGGGAGTTCAGCACGCCTCTTGGTATTTCTCCATGGGCCAAACTCAGCATATTAATTGAGAACGTTTTCTGAGAAGTAAGATCTTGGGAAAATTCATAAGCATGTTGTGCTGCCCTCTATTTCAAGCATATATACATATATTCTTATATAATCAGTGTTATTAATCTGTAAATTTTCAGAAGGAAAGCTTGTGTGTGTACATGTTTTTTAAAGACATGCTCATATTTAGTTTAGCTTAGCTGCAGCAAACTGATTTTTAGGAGAGGATGTTTGAAAAAGATTCTGCCTTCACTATCCCCAGCAAAAACTGAGTTCAATATATCACTCTGCCTGAATTCTGACAAGTAGGCTATACTGGATTATTTGTAATCAACACAGGTTTTGAAGCTCTGGGCTACAAAGACAGTGAGGAATGGCACATCTATTGTGCTCAAAAACATTTCCTGGCTCAACTTTTTGTGTAAAAATGATATCAGATGTATATACTTCAGTTTGTGGTTCTCTGAAAGCAAGATACCATTAGTTTTTGAGATGGTGGACAAGATATGAGTCTGTTTTTCCCATTCTTGTTATTTCTTTTATATTAGTTGGTTGTTTGCTAACCAATGCTGGCAACCAGCCAGATGATTTTAAAGGTAATAAATCATTGTTTCAAAAACCTTGAAAGAATCCTATCAAAGATTCTGCAAAGTGTAAAAAATTGGCCCACCCAAGATAATAATTTCAAAAATGCTGTGCCTTTAATACGCACTTAGAAGTAACTTAAATTTATTGCTACCTAAATGTGTGAGGATATACTGAACTTCTTCCTGCAATATGCTACCCCATCATGATTAACTTGCCAAACCCAGATAACTTTCCTCATGTTGGTGCTTTTCCCCAAAATGTCAACCTGAGAATGCCGTGGACTATTCAACACATAATGAGTTTTCATATCATCTAAACCCTACCTACTGATTCCCTTGTGGGATGTAAGAAGAAGCAATAGTGGAAAAAAAAAAAAACCCTTACCAATTTTGGTGTTCTTGCCTGTGCCTACACTAATGATAGT